AGGCGGCCGCGCGCGCGCTGAGGCGAGGCGGGCGCGGGGCCGCCGCTAACGGCCGCCCGCCTTCCCCCCGCCCCGCGCTGCCCGGCGCGTGCTGCAGATGTAGGAATGAGGGTCGGCGCGGAATACCAGGCGCGCATCCCCGACTTCGAGCCCGGTAAGTGCCGCCGCGCCGCCACGGGAGCGCGCGGGGATGCGCGTGTGTGCGGGGGGGGCGCCGCTCCCCCCTTTATTATTATTTTTCCTTTTTTTTTTTTTTTTTTTTTTTTTCCCCTCTCCCCTCTCTCCGTGCCCTGTCTCTGCCCCCTTCCCCGCCGCCTTTGTGCTCGCCGCCGGCCGCGGGGGCAGCATCTGCGCGGCGGGAGCCTCGCCCGGTGCGCGCGCGGCGCCGGGGGGCTCAGCCCGCTGCCATTGTCTCGTGCCCCGCGCCGCGGCGCCGGCAAGGTGATTTACGTGCGTGTTTGTCACGGCTTCCCCCCGGCGCTCCTCGGGGCGGGCGCCGTGCGGGACGTGCCTGCCCGGCGAGCGGAGCAGATCGGAGCGGAGCGGAGCGGAGCAGCGCCTTGTGTGCCCTGCGCGCGGCCTCGGGAGCGGAGCCGCCGCTCTCCTCCTCCTGCTGCTGCTGGTGCGGCCCCGCCGCCCCGAGGAACACTGGGTATCCTCCCTGCTCAGCCCCGCTCCAGCCGGGAGCACTGCGCCCCGCAGCAAGCCGCTCCCGCCGCCTTTTGCCTTCTTTTTTTCCTCGCCCCCCCCCCTTTTTTTTTCTTTTTTTCCTCTTTCATTAGGAGCACTTACCCGTTCCGCTGTAGTGGTCAGATGAAGCCTATCTGCTTTCCGGTTCTCCAGACAGGCTCCATTGGTGTCAGATGGTTTCCTGCTGGAAGAGGATTGGGCCGGTGCTCCTCATGTAGTGACCCCTAAAGCTGGAGCCCCCGTTGGTGGGCACAGGGAAAAGAGATGAGGAGGGTGGTGTGGATTAAAGGGGCACCTTTCCTTGCAGCCTTGGTGTAAGGGCAAGCCTCTCGCCTAGAGAGGAGTGCATAGTATGGGCAGTAATGCCACTTACATTACTGCTTTTTACGTTGCATAAATAAAAATAAAGAGAAGTGGTAACTTCCAATAGCCTGGGCCTGTTTTTTTCCAGTGGCCCTACAGATTAGAAAAATGCATAGTATTTTTTTCCCTCTTGATTAAAAGAATACTTTTTCACCCTTGTAGGCCAGCAGAGCTTCTGTAGTCTCAAATTTGTAAACTAAATATGCCTCCATATCATTGAACTTTTAACAACACAACTTAAATTCATGTTCTCTTATATAGGGAGACTTTTTGGAGCTTGTAGATGTACACCCTGGGGAGGAGAAAAACTACTGATGCTGTGCTCTTATTTACTGAGATTAATACATATTCCTTCATTAGAACTGTTCCATTATGATGGAAATCTTTCCTTAGAAATCCTGTGTTGATTTAGTAAGACTAGGCATTAATAGCTTTTAACAGCTAAATCTTAAAACACAGCTCCATGAAGTATAAAAATATATATGTAGCATCTTAGTAGGTTAATTATCCAAGGAGATCTTGGCAAGTAAATACTTTGAGAGGAAACAGATGAACCTGGAAGCATCATCTGGTAGATACAGTGTTGGACAGGAAGTGTTCTCCTGTGGTCTTCCTACAGACACTTAGAAGTTTTGGTAATAAATTATGTAACGGCCATTCCATCAAGCTTCTAAGTTTACGTATGTGGACATATGCACTGTCTGTAATGCAGGGACTTCAATATTGTTGCATGGTGTTTCTTGTTGAGTTGTCCTAGAGCCCTTTTTGAAGGACTCACCAGATCAGTTAGAAGGGTGTTTAATTTCAGTACTGCAAACACTCTGCAATGGATACTTTGTTTTTTGTTAAGCCTCTTAAGATAAATAGGTGGGAGAAGGGAATTGGTAATGGATGAAACTAGATAGAAGTCTGTGATACAAAATCTTCCCTCTGGTACAGACACAGAGTGATAAATTGAGTAGAATAAATGCTTGGCAGGACAGCATTTGGTCTCACTTGGCCAGTGTTTATTGCAGTGAGCAAGGCTCTGCAGCAGTAAGTTGAGGAATAAAATGTTCATGTTTAAGGTTATGACAGTAGTAAACTCTTATATCTGAAGTTGTCTATGAAATAAATTGTTTAAAGAAAAGTCAATTGATTTTTGTGTCTCCTGGGAGAAATGGATTTGGAGTCAAAGCAACAACTAATGGAAGTTAATTGAAACATTCTTCTCCCACCATCTCTTCCCCTTTGAACCCCATTTTACAGGCAGCTCTTAAGGTAGAGCTTAGTGGAGAGAAGATATTTAATTGCAACTCTTTTATATCAATTTGTGAGGTATACTTGTTTTCATATACTTGAGGTATACGTGAAAAGGTTTGAATAAAAGAGGCATTCTGAATCTTCTTAAGTAATTTACTGAGTGCATAGACCATCTCCTGCTTTCCAGATTTTCATCTGCTCCTGATTTTTTTTTTTTTAATTTTTTATTTATTTATTTATTTATTTTTAAGTGGTGGCTTATTCTCAAGGTGCAAGTGTTTCTCCTGCTTTCTGGCTGCCTAGAGCACTTAGGATATAGCAGGGTGTTTCCATATCTGCTCCGTGCTTGTGCGATGCACGCAAGATGACTGCTAGAGAAGTTCTGCAGCACTGGGAATAAAGGGAGAATACAGGCCGAGCTCTGGCAGGTCATAGTACATTTGGAGTTTCCAAAGGCTTTACTGTGAACTTGGCCTATTTAAATGCTGCTTTTCCATTCACTCACTTCTTGGAAAGGGTGGTCGAGAAGAATGTGTTATACTATTTAAGGTCACTTATGAATTCCATTTCTTTGTGTCCTTTTAACTTTTTTCTTCCCTCCTAACCTCTCTACGTAAAAATAGGTCTATATAAAAATAGGCTCTCCTGTATTGAAGTTATTAAGTGCGGTGGAAAAGAATTTTAATTTTTCTCCCTCTCCATCTGTCCTTATAGTCTCTGATTTTTTTTTCTCTCACCTCCAAGACTTTCAATCCCTTATCTTTAAAATACAGTTATTTCTCCTGTTGTTTTTTTCTGGTTCTGTTCCTATTCTGAAAGATGCTGCTTAAGTGGAGAAAAGCACTTTGTTTGTGGGTAACCACTGTGTTTTTAAATTGCCATTTCCCCCTTTTTAGTCTTGTATGCTTCCAGACTTTCATATAACTCTTGGTACTTGTTTATTTGTGTACAGAACAGCATCTTCCCAGCTTTATCCATCTTCTGATGTGGAGCCAAGATTTTAAAAGTGTCAATTTGTCACTGCAGTTATTCCATTATGGAAGCAGTTGAGAATCCCCATAAATTATGGTTCACCACCAGTTAGACCCATTTTCTGAGTGATGTTGGCAGGAGAGCGAGGGCTGCAGCTGAAGTGCAAATACCTTCCCGAAGCAGTTTGCAGGTGTACAGAAGAGTAGAGAGATCCAGCTAATGGTCGTCCTCTTCCTTCCCGCTGTAGAGCTCTGCCTTTTTTTTTTTTTTTCCTCCTCTCTCTCTCTCTCTGTCTCTCTCTCTCTCTGTCTCTCTCTCTCTCTGTCTCTCTCTCTCTCTCTGTCTCTCTCTCTCTGTCTCTTTTCACGTGCTTTAGTTAATATGTTGCCGGGTACTTCCAACCACTGCCTCCCATCTGCTGTCCATAGTGAGAATGGTTCTTGTGCATAAAGATCATGTTGACTCTGAGATGCTGGCTTTTTATTTGCAGGGTGAGGTAGGGCTGCCACCCACTCCTGCTCTTAAGGCAGGGAGGACAAGATGCAGTTCTCAAAGATACAGTGTGGTCTTCCATACAGAGATGGAGAGATCCCCGTAGCTGTGGATGCTCTGTGTTGAGGACAGGATGTTGTCTCACAAGCACCTGCTTGCCTATATGCATCCCATCCTTCTGTTGTCACCCTTTCCTTTCAGCCATATGGAGGTCCCTCTGAAACGTCTGCTGTCTGATTCCTGCTGGAAAAATAGCACAGCTTTGCAAAGAGCTTTTCTGATGGAAATTGCCTGGGTTAGTAGTGCGAACATGGTAGAAGAGTACTGTTCCCACATAAGTGGCCTTAGCCATCAACTAATGTGTAGAGAATATAGCGGGTTTGAATGCTTGTTTCATCATCCTTTACGTGTATGCTTCTCATCACCCTGATTCCTGTTAGCCTCTTTGAGGACCACACTGAAAAAATGAACAGGGTACCATGGAATCAGCTGAGCACCTGGAGTTCCCCTCTGAGGTTGATGCTCAACCCGTAGCACTGCTGTCTCTACAGAGGTCTGCAAGGCACTGGCTTCTGGCACAAAGTGGGAAGCTGTCCAGGAAGCATGTCTCCTTTTCACTCTCAGAGCTTTCTTGCTCTTCATTTCCTCCGCCAACCCCATCACCTTAGGTCCATGGAGGGAAAGGGAGAGCAGCTTGAGAGCGAAGCTGGGTGGACTCTGCCTCCCTCCTCACCCAGGGCTGCACCTCAGTCCTTGTCCTCTTCCGTGCTGCTGACACGAGGTGCCGGTGTGCTGTGCAGCGCCAGAAACACGCACACGGTGCTCGGTGCTCGCAGCCTGCAGGCGTAGGCGGCTCACACAAGGTAGCTGTCAGAAACCTGCAGCTTCCCCTCTAAGCAAATAAATCAAGTGGCCCTGCTAGGGATGAAAGATCTAGGTTAATATTCTGGCTATGATTTACAACACGAACTTGCTTTGTACAATTCTCACATTAGAATATTTTATGGAGCATTGTGAGAATTTCATTACTGATATCTCATGAAGCAGTGATTCTTGACCAGAATTTGAACAAAATATCTTCATGGAAAATAAGCTATTTAAACGCTCCTTTCTTATATGTTCAAGAAATGATCATTTGGTCAACTTTGCACTGTTTGCTATATGTAATTGAACAACTCAGTCTTTATTTTATTTTATTTTCTCTTTAAATGACTGGCATTTAAGTCTGAAATTTTACAAGTTCTTCATTCTTAAGGTGGTGGGTGAGGAGAGTTTGAGGCTTGAAATTCTTCAAGATTTTACACAGTCTCGCCAATGAGTTTAAACACATCCCCAGTTGATGCACTTTTTCAGCTGAGGTGGGCTCTTTGTTTAGGTGTGTGCTTTAAATGAGATTCAAGCTAAGCAATTTCCCTGTGAAGTGGAACCCATTTGGAGTTGAGTGTTCTTTTAAAATAAGTCACCTGTTTTGTTTTTCAGCTTGGGAGAAAAAGTTGTTGCTACTGTTGTTGTCTTTAGGTTTTAGCTTATAAAATATCCTTAGCTCTGTTGTTACAGCTAAACTATATCATTGCACACTTCAAGCAGTGATCTCAAAGCTTTGTAAAGTATTAAGTGCAAGTAACATGACTCTGAAGCTAAGTTCTTAAGAACTAAGTTCTTAAGAACTTTTGATATTTGATATTATCTGCAATATAAATTGCATAAATTACAGAGTGTCTCATATTTTTGAAGGGAGAAAATTAGGGTATAATCATTTTAGATTTGGATGTTTCATGCTCACAACTCAAAATTCTGCCGTACCCTGCAGTGACCATCCTGTTTTCCATGTCTCTTAGGTAATCAGTGGAAGGCAGGATAGCTGTCAGGTACTTTGGTTAAAAGTTGACTGGACAAGAGAGAAATGGTATGCCCATAACTAACTTCTTTGCATCTCTCTCAAAAGAAATACTGTATTCCTGTATTTTGAAAACAAGTGCTATTTTAATAAGAAAGTTACATTTTTGAAAACAAGTGCTATTTTAATAAGAAAGTTACATTAAGATTCTTGTTCTTAGATACAAAGTACTAAAAGATTTTTTTTTGTGCTACTTGTACCTAGTGCTTTTTGTCCTGTATGCACATTTACAGAGTTGATGCATTTGTACTAGTTACACCCTACACATCTTATTTCAGAAAGCACATTAATTTTTCTAATGTTTTTCTAATGGTGTGCTTTTCTGGGGTGCAAGTTGGCAATGGCAATGCATTTACTGCCTGCAAAGATGGGAGATACAAAACAGTGCTGACATAGAAAAGGAACAACAAAACATTGTATGTACTTAGAAAGTGATAAATATTTCTTTTCTCCAGTGTGCTGTTTTTTTGTTTGTTTTTGATTTGTATCCTTTAACAAGCCTTAGAACCTTGATATAAAGAAGAAAAACTTAAAATGGCCTGAAAAAATCAGTGAAATAGCTGTAATAGAAAGAGAAAGGGGGGATGTGTGTGTGTGTGTATGAATGTGTGTAGAAATCAATTTTATCCCAGAAAGCTTGGTTTTTCTGAGAGTGCTGCCTCAAAGAATTTATACTGACACAAGTGGATGTGCTCTAATTGTGGAGCAGTTTCTTAGCAAGATAGGTTGTTGTAAAAAAAAAAAAAAAAAAAAAAAAGTAAGAGATTTTAGGAACTAGCATATATGTTTTAAAATATTCATGAAAAGCAGCTATTAGTTCACATTTTCTAAGTCTTAGAGAATTTTCATTTTTTCAATTTTTGTGATGCTTTTCTTGGAAATTAGAATCTCTGGAATCTGCAGTACTTTGTGCAAAGTCACATCACTTCTGCAAGAGTTGTTCTGTCTTCCTCTTAAGTTAGGTAATTTGGACCATTTCCCTTAGCCACAAACGGAGTGGAAAAACAAAATTGGATGAATTTTACATCTCAGTCTCTTCTATGCCTATGTGATTTAGTTTAAATATGTGTGTGTGTGTATATATATATATGAGAGATGCATGGGGAACAAAATAGTTTCTGACATAGTTGTTAGTGTACTTTTCTTTCTGAAAGGAAACTTAAAACACTTTGAGCGTTCCAAGTTTCAATCTCATAATTTTGTTGTGTTAAGGAAGCCTAACTCAGCCTAGTAGATCCAGATACTCCTGTGGTCATAGTAGTATCAACATACTGATAGTCTCTCACGCTTGCCTAAGAACTCTTCTAACTCAAGGGCACAAGTAGCTGTAATTTGGCATCCTTGTCAACTTTAGAAATGAACTTTAGTGCTCAAATTACAGTAATTTAGGATCCATTTAATACTGGGCTGTAGTTGTCCCTTGTTAGACATTGATTGGTCAAACCTGAACCCTACTCTTAAGGAATTATGTATTTATTTATTTTATCCTCCATCACCTTGTTTGTTGGCTGACATTAAAAATGTGACCCACCTTTATCTACTGTCCTGTTCCATAGGTCATATATATCAATACTAAGACTTAACTTTTCTTACAGGTGCTACAAAATACACTGATAAAGATAATGGAGGGATGCTTGTATGGTCTCCATATCATAATATTCCAGATGCCAAGTGTAAGTCTGCTTAGGAATTTGAATACTTAAAAATAACTGTGAATAATGGCTTCTGATATCTGTAAACCGTTTTAGCTGCAGAGAAGTTGCAAATTAGTAAGTTTTTGAAAAATCACATATATTTTTCATTTGGAGAACTAGCAGGAAAGGAAAAGGCTGCCTTCCTACCCTCTCTTATTTTGTAGTTGAAGCATTTGTTTCAAATCACACAGGTTGTGTTGTATAATTATACAAGTGTCTCTTAAACCTGTCGGTATCAACAGGGTAATAAAACATGTAAATATGAACACTGTTTAAACACTGTTTTTAAAAATCACCTTTTTTTTAGAAATGAACTTTTGTGGCTTTAATGCAGTAAAATTTGGGAAGAGAACATCTTTTTCACAGTGAATAAACTTGTGCATAAAGTTTATAAGTTTAAATATTGCACTAAAGTGTTTGGACCTATTTGTTGTGAATACAGCTAAGAATATTTTAAATGTTTTGGAGGACCTAGAGAGTGTTCCCGTGTTAGATGGATAATTCTGTATGATCTTATGACAAAGCTAACAGTACTAAGCAATAATTCTGACGTTGCTCTGTTACAGTGGATGAATATATTGCAATAGCAAAAGAAAAACATGGATACAATGTGGAACAGGTAAGTGCTGCACAACAAGAGCGCTCATTTAAAGGACTTGTTTTTAATGTAAAAGTGTATCATAACTTTTTCTTTCCCCCTTGGTTACCATTAATTAACGCTGTTTCTCTTCAGGCACGGCAGCAAACACTGCAGTTAATGGATCTGCATACAGTTGTGGTCTGGATTCTCTGCAAAAGATTGAGCTCTTTGTTTTCATGACATGCTCAGCTTGTAATGTGCACTTTTGAAAGGTTTGGTATGTTTCTTGGTACACTGGGCATGTCATGCAATTGTGTGTGTATACTTAGCTAAACAATTTACCAGGCAAGAAGGTTACAAATTTAATACTAGAATTTATATATGGAAAAATATTGACTCGTTAAGTGCAATCAGCATTGGAAAGGTTCCTTGCATATCTTAAAAAAAAAAGGCAAACCAACTTTAATTTAATCTTCTTTCCCAAAGGTAGAAAAACAACACCAAGATTTTGGATTTGAGAGTGATTTAAAAATAAAATCCCAAGTTGACATTTTGTTTTATGAAGTTAGTCACCATTCCATAAAGAGTAAAGGGTAAAACTCTACTAGTCTACACTGACTTAGTTCTGTTGCAATCTTCTTTGTAATTCAACCAATTCATGTAACGCAAGATTCCCTATTCCAAACAAATATTTGGTGTACCAGTACATGTTGTGTGATCTTATTTTAGAGGATGAAAGCTCATAATAGCAAAGTCAGGTGCTCTCAGGAAGAAAGGCTGCCGACACTGACATCTAAAATACCTGCATTTTGATCATGTTGGTTTGTGGTTTGGCCTGTGTTAGAGGAAAGAGGGAACTGTGGATCTCACTAAGGAGTCTCTAAAAGAGACAGATATTTTCAAAGGAACTTGTGATAGAAAATATTTGTAGACAGTTCCCAGGGTAATAGAAAATACCCATACAAGAAGTGCTGCTGACTTCTAGCCCTTCTAACAAGAGAACAGATCTACTGTGTCCAGGTTATTAGAAGATCTGTAATCAGGGGTCTGGAGAGCTGATGAACAACTGGTGATCATGTCTGCACTGCATGGCTGAAACTGAGTGGATTACATTTCCCAATTGCCATGCCAGACTTGGCATCAAATCTGTCATTGATTCTCTGGCAGTAAGTTCAATTAGTCTAACATTCTTTAAGAATATTGAGAAATGAAATGATGTTCAAAAGTATGCTTAAATTTCCATTCCTTATTAGGTACACATGACATGGAAGTGGCCGTGCTGTTATTTGTGGATTGGAGAGTTGTAGAAAGACCACTCTCACTTTGAACTTTCAAACTTGCATTTTGGATGACCCTCTGGCTGCTGAAAAGTATTTTTTTTCTTTTTTTTTTTTTTTTTTCAGTGGGCTGATAGTATAGGCTTGAAGACCTGTAAGGAACTGGGTAGAATACGTACACTTGTAAAAGAAGCCAACAGGTTAGATTTATGCCTACCAACCCAGCTTATGCTAGTTCAGAAACGCTGCTGCCATGCCAACCTTAAATTGTCCAGATATCTTAGCTTTAATGGAGTACAAATGTGCCCACTCTTCATACAGTCTCCAAAGAGAATTTTGTATCCTGTAGTACATAGAGGCAATGGAAGAAGTCTAAAATTGTAAATACTATGGAGAAGGGATTGTGATAGTAAATCTTTAATTAAAAAAAAAAAAAAAAAAAAGTAACTTATTTTCAGCATTTCATGAAACTGGCTAAAACCAAAAAGGGATTGTTTCTTTTCAAAGGCTCTCGGCATGTTGTTCTGGCATAAACACAACATTGAGAAGTCCCTTGCGGATCTCCCTAACTTCACTCCTTTCCCTGATGAGTGGACAGTCGAAGATAAGGTCCTATTTGAGCAAGCGTTTAGCTTCCATGGAAAGAGCTTTCACAGGATTCAGCAAATGGTAAAGTAAAAGTTTGTTCAAAGCATTAAGCAATTCAGCAATTACTTGGGCAAGGGGTCCTGCTGGACTAAAGTTTCAATGTTGATTTCTGTGTAAAAGGAAGAACACAGAATGTAAGGCTTAAGTTCATTTCTTCATTTCATGCAGCTATAACTTTTCCTCTCTAAGGAAAAAGCTTACCCTCTTTTTTCTTTTTTCCCCGCCTTTTTATGTATGTGTGCAAGGCTGAGTTATGCACACCTTTAAGATACTTGGATATGGGTGACTGTAAATAAAGTAGAATTAAAATCTTTGATATAAATTTAATAAAACAGTGTGTTAATTTGTTGATGAATTCTTCTAGCTTCCAGACAAGTCTATTGCAAGCCTTGTAAAATATTACTATTCTTGGAAAAAAACTCGCTCAAGGACAAGTTTGATGGATCGTCAGGCTCGAAAATTAGCTAATAGGAATAATCAAGGTGACAGGTAAGGTTTATGTTCTTAAGCAGCTATCAGCCATCTCTTGTAGAGACCAGAGTCTTTCTGGGTAGAGATGTTTCAGTAATTCAACCATTAGCTTTCAGCATCAGCTGTACTTTTAGGTTTGAACGTCTGTGATGTTGTCTCTGCTTTTGGCAGGTGAGCTCTGATACATCTGTGTAGAACTATATTACTCTGGTCAGTATCAGTTGTAATCATAAACCTGGCTTCAGTGTGTAACTCCAAGAACAAGGTTTTGAAAAGGCTGAAGTTTGGGCACGTGGCTTAGAAATAATGTTTTCTTTGAGAAGTCTAATCCTAAATGATTGCATAATGGGTAGGGTGTGGAGAGGAACATGTTTCTGTTATTAGAACTAGAATGGATAACTAAAAGGTCAACCAATATAAAGAACCTCAGCAACTAAAAGCAACTGCGTGCTGCTTAATAGTGAAATTTTAAGGTACATGTTTATGTAAATCTTATTTTGAGCACATTTAGAACTAATATGTGTCATAGAGAATTAGAGTTCAACATAGTGCTAATGTAACGTACTCTTGTTTATATGAGCAGGTATGTTCTATTTCACATCTGTAGTAAACTGCCTAGCCAGAGGAGAAGAGTCTCTTTAATTGTATGTTACTAACAGGACAAACTCTTGTCATTTACAATTTGTGTTTACTTAGTGAGCCTATAATTGAAAGAAAAGCATAAGAAAATCACTTTCTAATCCTTTTTTGTTATAACCAGAACTTTTTGGATTTTTTACATTATAGCTAGAAATGAAATTATATGAGTGACTAGATTGGACTAGACTAAATTAATTTCTTCATCCTCTGATTCAATTCAGCAGATGGTTTCCCTTCTTGCTCTCCCTCTTCCCAAAGCTGTAGTACTTCAGGACGGTTTTTTTTCCACCAGTTTAGAGTGCTCAATTCTCCCATCTCCTGTTGCTTCCTTCTGCTCCTCCCAGACTGACACAAGGAGTTATTCATA